TGTTTTCCTTTTTTTGCACGATTTGCCTTATTCTGTTGAAACTAATTTTATCAAGTATGCTGACGACCTGACGATTTCTATTCCAGTAAACTCTTCTTTGGATTGCTCGAAATTAAATGAATTCTTGTCTGAAGTTGGTAAATGGTCTCTCTCAAATGGTCTCAAACTAAACCCCTCTAAATGTCAGACCGTTAATTTTAGCCTCAGGCGTAAACAAGACTTATGTGAGCTGCTTAAATCTCATGACGCCTGCTGCATCAATGGTATTTCTGCAGAAAGTAAATCGAGTGTGAACTATCTTGGGTTGTGTTTTACTTCTGACCTTTGTTGGTCGTCCCATATTTTATTGACTTGTAAAAAAATCTTTCGTTTAACTTATTACGTAAAGAAATTGAGGCTTTCTGGTATAACTCAACTGCTTCTTTTACAATTTATTAATTCCTGCATTTTACCTATTCTTCTATATTGTTCCCCATTAATCTTTCCTGGTCTTCTTAAAAAGGACTATGTTATGTTGCGTAGGGCTTTGAAGACCGTCAGCAGGGTGAGTGGTGTGTCTCTGGCTCAACTGATTAACACTGTAGTTGATCGACATATAAATTCCTGCAAGCTACTAGCTACAGAAATTTTAACTGACAGTGAGCATCCACTTCATTTACAGCTCTCTCCATGTATCTCCTCAGGGAGGACAAGGAGAAACTACATAAGACTGTATGCTCGTACAGCTAAGTATAAGAATTCGACTGTACCTTACCTTGCACGCATATTTTGTGAGGAAAAAAGTGTTAGAACAGAAATCACACATCAACTTTGTAACAGTTAAAAATCTCATTTCAATAATTTAACTTACAATGCAAAATTTTCTCGTTTTTAATATTCTTCACATAACTTAAATTTTTATAATAAAACAATTCGAAAGGCTGCAAAGTAGTATGTATATACTTATATTTTGTTGTTATTGCAATATATATTACGCTGAGAATTCCAAATTGTACCACAAATTTTTGTGAATAGAGTGAATTATTATTATCATTATTGTTATTATTATTATTATTATTTTTGACTTCAGTCTCAGCTCCATTCTTCAAAGACGCTAAGAATAAGTTATTTACACCGAGTACCTTTTGATGCTTTATTATTTAAACTTATTTACTGATCGCTACTACATTAGGAGGCTTGGTGTTAAATAATTATAGAGTACAATGCATTGAAATCGGTGTTACTGGAGCAGTATTCCGTTTCAACTGTTTTTTGAAGTGGTCCACCATTCGCCTTAAGTGTATGCGCAAGTTGGTGATCGACGTACTATCTACTTTGAACATCAGGCATTTTGAAGTCGGTGGCCCGGATAAATGGAATAGCTTCTGGTTATTGCCAGATGTAACCTTTCCCTCCCTCTCTGTAGCAATTTCTACTCGTGCAGTCTCTTCTTACATGCTGCATGATATCGCATGGAGGGATTATGATTACAAGCTTACTTGTTCTCTGCTGGGAAAGTTCGACAAACCATAGGAAGTCGCAAGCAGCTGACAAAAACTCTGTGTTAACTCGCATAACATTATTGTGGGCTACAGGCAGCTTTACTCATCTTTTCATAGCATCCTATAAGTGCATTCAAACCTCACGCATAATTTCTGAAGGTCCGACAGTTACTTCTAAATCTAGGTAGGTTTGTTATCAATTTGTAATACTGGAAACAACTAGTTAGCCTATCATAAATATATTTGTAATGATTGTTTGCATAGTGTGACATAGTGTGTTGAGCTAAATTACTACCCATGATCACAGTAATTGATGGAATTGTTTGTGGACGTGGATTTTGTTGACCACCAAAACGTAGAGCGAACATAGGACACACGAATGTGTAACCAGAGTTCACAAGGGGTGACAGTACTGGGTATACTCATACCATCAGCATCTATTTGGGATGTGATGCATTAGAATGGAGGCTTTAGTGGTGGATGGAGGACGCCAGGTAGCACAACGACGATGGCTGTGCTGGAAGTTGGTACTGCCTAGAAACGAGTTGTGATCTACACGAAGCTGCAGAAAGCTTCACTCATAATCTGATGTGGCACTGACTAGTCTCCATTGGTCATGTGGGCGAATCTCTTGTGAACGTAAACGGCTGATTTGTGCATTCACGTCTCCATGTGGCACTTGAATACCTGTCGAACACGTTTAGTTGATAATGTCACCTAAGTGATGGTTGAAGGCATCCTCAATCGGATGTGAACTGCAGTCTGTCGGAGCAAAGGGAGAGTTGACGAAGAGATAGGGTTTCCTTTGGCAGTTAGTTTTCACTCTAATCGAACCTTCTAGCGTAATAGGAGACATACAACTGTTAGTGGGTATACAGTGGACTAGTACAGTTTTGGCTCTGACACTGAGTGTGAAATGGTAGGTATCAAGGGTGTGTGGTGATGCCATATGGTTATTGGGTCGGTGGACTGTTAATGCACTTTCTGAGTTGACAGGTGGGGGAGGTTGTTTGAATTATTTCACTGGAAGCATGTATGGGAATATCTGAGGAACAAGAAATATGGGTGTTGAGGATATCCAGCATCCTAGTGAAGCCTGTCTATTTTCCGTAATGCATCGACTTTCGAACATTGTGAGTAGCCAGCTTAGACGGTACACATTGTTATGCAATATTTGTAGCGGATGTATTTGTTTATGGATGAAGCTTCATGATGACTGAATTTCATAATGTCGGAATCGAATATTGGTGAGATGTGTGTAACTGAATGTGTGAGTAGTGAAGGTCGCCATAACTTTAGCAGTAGTGATGAAAAGATCATGGAACTAATAAGTGAACTTTTTTTAAGTGTTAGGATAAGTGGAATAATCAAGCGAACAGTTCACTATAGTAGGAATTTTGAATCGCTAATATTGCGTAGATTGTTATACTATTCGGACAAAAGCCGAATCAGATATTTTTCGTAGTAGACCACGTCCTAAACCTTCGACTTAAGTGTTATCCACGCAGCAGTAGGGCGGTTTGATGTGTTGTATTCCCATGTTTTGATTAAGAGAGGCCTGTACCCTATTCCCCCTTTCTCAATTGTTTTGGGTATATGAACCAATGTTTTGTTGTCAGAATTTTCTAACTGCCTTATATATACTCTCCATGTTCAGCGATCCGACTGTAGCGCCTGACTTTGAAATTTTCACTTTCGTGCTAACATCTGCACCCTGTGAAGACACTGAGCAGGATTTCCTCGACAGAGGATATGTACAAATACGTTCTAGAGCATTTTGTGTGGATGACGGGCATAACCCCTCCTTTAGAAATGTCAGCTTGTTGGATGGGCTTCGAAGAATAGCTTCTCATTCCTAAGATTCTCCAACTTAATGTTTTCAACGGTTTTCGTTACGTTTTAAACAAATGATGTCCATTGATTTAGTTTTTTCAGCTCCTTTAATTGTTTATGCTATTCACCAACCTTTTCACTTTACACAGCTGTTTGGTAATTTCTTCAATCCACGGCTACTGAAAGACAAAAACGTTGTGTGAACATATGTGCTGAGTCATCCGAAATTTCATGCTTTTTGTTTGGAAATGTTGTTGCTGTACGAGTATATTATAACAAACCACTAGCAGTGTCTAACATTTATTCTTCGTTTCTGAGAAATTTCCTACCGTATATAGAAAATAGCTCAACCTGTAGTTGATAAAAGCTACAGACTTGTAAAATAGGTAGACAGTATCAACAGAGGACCTGGGATTACCACTCCTAATACCAGCAGATCGAGCGAGAATGCACTAGTATGAAAGGTAAAAAGCAAACAACAAAGACAGCCAAAGGTGATCGAAAAGTGTCTGGAAAGGACGAGCGATTAGAATGAATATAATGTACAGATACATGTGCACCACTGACATCGATTGTGAGGCATATCACCTAGTGTGTGCATCCAGTGGTTTTTGTTGTCATTCAGACCTCAATCGAGAAGTGTACATTTCCTACACAGTCCAGGTCAATAGTTAAAGACTTCGTGAACTGATGCCATGTTTTAGTCTGATTGACTTGAACCCTTTTCCAGTCTGAACTTACTTCAGTTAACAATGTGCGATGGGTCAGACGGTGACTAGGCATGGGTAACACATGTTCTAGACACCTGAGTCGCCGTAGTTTCCTAACCTCGTTGAGTGACATTCCTCTCTTCCTTAAAACTCCGTCTTACTTCTACTTTACTGATATGGAGGCACGACGGTATACAGCTTTGTGGTACAAAGGTAGTGGTTGTCGAACAGCTCAGGCCTTCTCGTTTCTTTTACTTGTAACAGCAATGTTTCATGGGCATAAAGCAGAACAGAGCGAACTGCAACGCGGTAAACTTGGCTTCTGATACGAAGTTGGATACCACAGTGGTCAATTACCCGCCATGACTAATCCCACTGACTTCTTAGTTAATTGAAGTATGCTTAACCACCTCACTTCTCATTGTTAAACAAGGTACCAGCAAAGATCAGTCTGGGAGCATCAATTTGGATTTAGGTGGTAAGAAACTCATGTCAGGCATTTTCAAATCGCCGCTCAATGTATCCAAAAGATTGCACGCTGTCAGCATCTTCAATGTACATCTGCCTACTCTAGATGCTCTAAGGATTCTTCTGTGATGAGATGAATCCCTGTGAAGCCAGACAATGGGGATGCATATTTTCATAAGTAGATCTGTGGGAAAATTGGATAGAAATGGATAGAGTGACCATTCTTGATGGAGACAGTTCAACGTACACAGCTCAGCATAGGCTCCATTATGTCTGCGTGTGTTTGAGCATAGCACATTCAGTGTTTGGTTATCATGAAAGGATTTCTGAATTTTCTTGAAGACTGGGGCAAGTGCGTGATTGAGTTCAGTCATTGATATGATTATGAGCAATAATTTATGCTCGAAACGTAATCAATTAAATAATACTGTATCACTGTGCGCTTTATATCAAATAAACAAATCTAATATGGAACTACAATACTTCATATTTTTGATTTCGTACACAGGACATGTTCAGAAGAGTAAAATAGACAATGCTCTTGTTGGATTACAAGCACAATTCAATACCTCTACAACATTACAAGCAGGTCTTCGCCCAAACTCCCAGAATGCCTACTTAGCACTGTGTAGTCGTAGTGTCGGTAGTGATCTCGCCCTATAAGGCCTACACATACTGTCACGGATTTTGAAGAGAAAGAGCAGTTGCTTTCACCTTGGGAACGTCCAACTTCGGATGAAATGCTCCCACCGAAAATACCACCTGGTCGTAACAAAGTAAGCGAAAATAAAAGGAGGGAAATGGCTCCCTATGTGAATGCTCTAAAATGCGTAGATTTCGAACCTCCATTTTTTACTATCGGTATGTTCAATATTTTAATATTACTATTATAATTTTTATTTAAGTGATTAATGGATTGTAACTAATAGTGAAATAAGGCATGCACATTTCGTCTTGTTAAGAATTCATCCAGTGAATTTACGTGTCTTCCAGTGATTGATGTTGCTCCTACTTAGGCTCAAAGTGGGCCTTCATCGCTCCTTTTCGATTGTTTACTTGTTTCTTCAGTTTATCGTAGAGAAACGCACCTCAGAAACCTGATGTAGACTCTTGTACTAGGCCATGAACCACACTTGATTCCTAGGGTTTATGATTCTACTTGACCATCCAGACCGAAGCGAATGAAAAACGGTTTTAAGCCGGAAATCACCAAGCTGTCTTGTCCCTGAAACATTGCTTCTATTTCCCAGTTTATTGCTCATCTTAGAACATACTCAAATATTTTACGATCTTGAACCACCTTCCACTATGTAGATTAAAATTGACTTGTGTACTTCAACTGATTTGGAGTGAAGCAATCATTCATATTTCTGTTTTCTAATGCGTCAAGCTTTAGGAACGACGAGAATTGAAGTGTAAGCGGTGTTGTCCACTTTCATAATACTTATTAATAATTGATATCTCAACGCATGAGCATTCACAATTGAATGTAAAGATTTTTAAGTACTGTTTGGAGCGAAACAATGTGCCGACTTGTCTACTTTCCTATCCATTGTAAGATGACAACGTCAAGTCCCCATTTAGAGACGACTTAGCTAGGCATTTACCTGAACGTGACAGCAATGCTCATCCTGAGGAAACATGGTGTAATTAATATTAAGCCTACTGTAGAAACAGCAGTGAAGACAGCTGATAACTTACACTAGAAGGTTAACAAACGTCATCCAAACTGAATGGTGCGGGAAGACTGATTGCAGCTGACTCTGACCCCAATAAAGAGCAAAAACAACTAAGACGTAAATTGACCACGAGTCTTCGCAATGGTCGGCAGCAGCGCTGGCTGGCGAGAGCGATGGAGAAGGTACCTGCATTAGGAAATACATAGCAACTATTTAGGCTTATTGATGATACCAGGAAGAAGAAGACGATCATTAGTGAAACCATCACCGAAAAGGTGGGGACTCTGATAACCTTTGAGGACAAACGGCTAGAACATTAGGCAAAATACTTTGAAGCACAGTTCAACTGGCTTACAGCAACGATTCACTTGCACAACGTCTAGCCTGAAACGACGCAAATTACCAGGATGTGACAGTCAGCGGGATGGAGGTGGGAAGTTGGTGATGAAAGTGATGGACGTACTAGGTAGTGTATGGGAATCAGAGGCAGTGCCTTTAGACAGGTGTACTTGTTTGATCATCCCAGTCCATAAGGAGGGAGAGAAGTCTTCTTGTGACAATTATAGGGGAATTGGTTTAACTAATATTGTTTCCAAGATCCTGTGGTCCATAGTCATTCGACGCCTAACTGGAGCTCGAGAACAGCAAACTCGAGAAAATCATACAGGTTTTAGACAGAGCTGGACGAGGGTGCATTGATCACATTTTCACTAACTAGCAGGTCCTGCAACACAGGCATAATTACCGGTGGCTGACACTTGCCATATTTCCTGACGTGAATGTGATATTCGACTCTGTCAATCGTGGTATTGTGGCAGTGTTTGACTGTGAAGGGGAGTACCGAGGAAATGTATCATTGGAATCAAATCTCTCTACTCGAACTCACTCAGGTGTGTAAGGGCTGACAAAGAGTTGTCATCGGAATTGTCGACAACCTATGGTTTCACACAGGAATGACCATTGTCACCGTTCCTGTTTGATTTTTTTACAGACCTACCACTGGAAATAAACTCAAGTACGTCTGAATACACGCGGACTGACCTACTTTCTCGCCTGGTTGGGTTTAAGTATACAGACAATAATGTCCTGCTGGGTGAAGACGTTGGGTAGAGGAGTTGAGGGGAAATCCGAATATGTTTGGCATGCGTTTCGCTGGCACCTATGAATTAGTCGACGCATTCCTCCACTTCACTCTTTATGCTTAACTAAGAACAGTTGCAGACCGATCCTGGAGCATCATCTTACATTTTCAATTCTGGAAAATGATGGAAATATTCCCAGTCAATGGATGTAGATTCCAGTCTTTGAAATACTTTAGCACGGACTGTTGAGAATGGTGGTCAAAATGTTACTTAACGTAATAACGTGGACACTTCTGAATCTCTGTCACTAATCCGGTGACTATCCCATAGTCCATGCTAAAGGATTTCAAAGGCTGAAATCCACATCCACTGCCTGTTTATATTTCCATCAGTATCCAGAATTAAGAATGTATGATGCTCCAGGATCAGTCTACAACTACTTCCAAAATAAGGAAAGGGAGTGAGGTGATGGAACGTGTTGACCAATTCATATCCTTGGGGAGTTGCATCACCCCACCAAAGGGGTTGCCTGGTGACGAAATCTCAGCTCAGTACAGAAAGGCCGTTTGAGGTTTGCCAACTTGGCATTTGTTTACCTCGCAATCTTTCATAGTTCGTGCAGGTTCATTTTATGCATCACAGTAAAGAGGGCTGTTTACTGGTATCCCGTCAAGAAGTGCACTTTTTGCTTTACAGCTCAGTGCTGTGTTTCGCTGCTGATCATCTAAGGGAAATTCCTTACTTCTATCAAAGCCCGGTCCAGTCGGCATTGCCACTTCGACCTCACAAACCTATCATAACGTAGCAATTTACAGTCTAATGGCAACTGCTTTTTGCCTAACGGCTATCCGACAGATATTTCTAGTTTGGTAGGACCTTGGAGTAACAAGCGTTCTACTAACATAGCTCGTCCAGCACTTCAAAGCAGCAGTTGACGTTCTAGTGAAGTATTAAAACCTTACACTAAACACGGTTCACGCTTTCAGGATTTTCCGTCAGCTCTTCTTCCGTTTCTGTGGCTTATTCGTTTGTCTTCGATATTTCCTTTCTGTGTCTTCAGAACCTTTACTGATTTATTGTTAATTCTAATTATTTTTCTCAGTAGTACCATCCTAATACTGCATATATGTTTTTTTCAAAGTAGCACCAACAACAATATATACTGATGAAGAGTAAGTGCATTTTCACAGTTCATATCTGTTTTGAGTGACTTCGCTTCATGTGCTCATCCACTAGTGTCTTTCCCAATTCAGGATTCAGTTTCTAAGCTTCTTCTTTTGCATATGACTTCAGCTATTCATCAAACTTCATGAACTTATAGAATGTGCAATTGTCTTTGCACTAAAACTGCTGCCATTGTACTTCGACTCTAAGCAGTGGGGGTGATAAACGGTTATTGTTAACGTGCAATACATTTCGCAATCTTTTTACCCATCCAGATTTAATAGAAATGAAGTACTTGTAGTTATCTCATGTTTTACACCAGCAGCACAGTATAACACTACTGCACTGCTTGCATATACTTGACTCAGATCATTGCAGCGTTCTGCATTTTCAGCACATTTATTCATCACATTTACATTTGGTAATAACATGTGTTGAAATTTTTCTTTCGTTTCAAGTTTTTCGATAGCCGAAAACGCTACTCCAGATTTGTGCAAGATATATTAAAAGATGCTAATCTTAGATTGTATTTTATACATTACTTACCTATCTTTGCGTTCATTACATTTTGTTCACTCTCTTCACAACTAACTGCCTCCCTGCTTACCACCATTCTCCTAATAGAAATCCAAGTTGCATATGAAACAGTGGAGTTTCTTTGTGAACTAGTTGCCAATCTTGGTCCTAAATTACGTACTGCCACTCTGTTATCCAAAGCTAGAAGAGTTCGACATGGTCCATTGACAGCACAGGATGCGCTACTTCAAAAACATTTGGAGAAGATACCTGTTGAATTTTATCACGAATATGTTCAGTGTGTCAATGATCTGTTGGCGCGATACGAAATTGATGATGTTGATCTAGTTAAGCCACCAGAAGAAGCTTTAGAAGAGAATCCTAATATTCTGAAATGTTTAATCAGTCGTACACATGGTAAATACGGTTACCATGTATTTGAAAATTTGTTCAAATGCACTGAATTATACTCAATTGGTGTTGGACACAGTGAAGAAAAGAAACGTCATATGGTGCCAATAAACTCATGATTATAAATGATATAATGATACGTTCAGCAATAAGTTTGTATATAACTTATCTTGATTTATTAGTTGTACATAAATTTGATTACTGCCGTAAAGCTTATGCGTTTTAGATTCAAGGAGCAGCAATAAATATGAAGTATCATTTTATGATGAAAAATAAGACATGGTTAATATGACCAAGTCACAAATCCTTGGAGTTAATATATGATTTTTATTCTTAAGTTTACCGTATATTTCGCAATTGGATATACAATTAGCCTAAGCGTCTCCTTAACAGTGTTCTGTTGTGGGTATGCCTTAACTTATTGTTGTGACCAGGTGGTGGGGTTGCGCGCGTGGATATAATGGATACTGAGACTCAATAGATACCTCAACTGAATACCTTTACGACTGACCTCCCTCAGTACCTTCTGCTTCACTGAGCCGCGGTAAAATCAGAAGACAAAGACGACCTGTGACTGCAAGAACAGCGACAACAACTTTTATTAGACAAGTCACATGACATATATGAAGTTACAAAAACTCTCAGAAAGTGAAGCCACAAATGGACCAATCAGATTACTTGTACCAGGTGGAATTCCTCCAACCAGGTCCTCATGTCAACGCATGCATAAATCATGACCTGAACATGATCTGATCCTGACTTGAAAACTCCCTTATTGGCTGCCTTGTCGCTACGTAACACTTATTTTTAAAAGCCATGCTGGTAAAAGATAGTTGGAGAGATCTCCCTGATCATTAGGTTCAGTTAAAAATTATCTGGTTAACGTTGAGTAATCGAAATGACTATTTAGATTATCAGGGGAATAAAGAGATGGGGGAGTTGACAGCAGTTAACGAACCATGATTGGATGAATATATCGTAAGTGCCTAGGTCGACAAGAGAGATACGATAATGTTTGTTAAGAGAATGAATGACCATCTACTATCCGCAGCTCATTCTGGAATAACCGAGTCATTTGAAATAATCACCAATAAGACTATAAATGAAAAGGTAAAAGTGTTTAGATAAATGGAAATAACTATTGACAAGTCTAAATAGTTTGCCATTGTGTCAGAGTCACGTAATAAACCTAGAATATATGGGATGATAAACTGTATGAAAAAGGGTATTTGATAAAATTGACGGTAAATTTCAGAAACACTGACGTATACTTCATGAAACTTTGTTGATAGTGATCTACGACCAACGCGGGACACAGCCAACGGGACATACTACATTTATTTGAACTACTAAAAAGACTCAGTGACACAAAATTAATAGAGGAAAGGTGCTGTTTAGTTTCAACATAAACAGTTTATATGAGAAAAACACTAATAAAATTTGCCACTGCCTCAGACAGATAAAATCAACAAAGGACATGGGATCATTGTTTAGTGCTGTACATTGCCAGTCCTAATATCAGCAAGAATGCACTAGTATGAAAGGTAAAGAGCAAACAACAAAGACAGCCAAAGGTGATCGAAAAGTGTCTGGAAAGGACGAGCGATTAGAATGAATATAATGTACAGATACATGTGCACCACTGACATCGATTGTGAGGCATATCACCTAGTGTGTGCATCCAGTGGTTTTTGTTGTCATTCAGACCTCAATCGAGAAGTGTACATTTCCTACACAGTCCAGGTCAATAGTTAAAGACTTCGTGAACTGATGCCATGTTTTAGTCTGATTGACTTGAACCCTTTTCCAGTCTGAACTTACTTCAGTTAACAATGTGCGATGGGTCAGACGGTGACTAGGCATGGGTAACACATGTTCTAGACACCTGAGTCGCCGTAGTTTCCTAACCTCGTTGAGTGACATTCCTCTCTTCCTTAAAACTCCGTCTTACTTCTACTTTACTGATATGGAGGCACGACGGTATACAGCTTTGTGGTACAAAGGTAGTGGTTGTCGAACAGCTCAGGCCTTCTCGTTTCTTTTACTTGTAACAGCAATGTTTCATGGGCATAAAGCAGAACAGAACGAACTGCAATGCAATACAGTATACTCTTAATAAGTAATTGAACACCCCACGTATACGGAAGCCATGCGAGCCTTTTGTATCCGTGGTGAGATTTTGTTGGCATATCTGATTGCCTTCCTAGGCAAGTAAAGTAAGTGGTCAGTGCGCTTAACCACTGCACTCTTTATTGTTATTGCCAGTCTAGGATTGGCGGTTTGCTTTTGGGTGACGAGAAAGGTATGCCAAGCATTCTCAAGTCGCCACTCAATATGTCCAAAAGACTGTGCATCTTTTCAAGGCCCTCATTTATAATTGCAATGTCATCTTCGCACTCTAGGTCTACTGAAGATTCTGCTGTGATGAGATCAATCCCTATTAAGTCAGAAAATGAGAGAGAGGCCTCCGCTAGTAGGCCTGTGGTAAGGTGAATAAGAATAGATGAAGTGGTCATGCTTGATGGAGACAGTTCAATGTACCTTGCTGAGCATAGGCTATAACACGTCTACGGGTGTCCGAGTGTAGCACATTCAGCTGGTTAATACACTTACCTGGCATCCGTTCCAATGAGAAACACTGCCATAAGGCCTCTCGATTGATGGAGTGAAATGTTGCCTTCAGGTGTCGGTAAGTATATCTATGTTCCATAATTTTCCGGGTGTATGTGGAATTTCTGTTCAATACACCCACAACCTGTTTTGAAATCTGCCTACTTATCGTTGGCTTACTGTTTTTGAGCTCCACTTAAGTGTCTGTTGATCATAGAAGCTGTAATCTTAGACACGATGTTCATCTGGTTATCACAAAAGGAATTTTGGCCTTTCTTAAAGATTGAAATAATCAGTGATTGAGATCAGTTGTAGAGGTTCATATCTGAATCCCATACAGACACTAGTTAACATTTAATTTAATTTGACCAATAATACTCTTCCACTGTCCTTTAGTGCCTCTCACATTAGTTTATATGACTCCTAACCATTTGTCTGAAGTTCGAACACTGCTCCACCCATCGAGGTTTGGGCAAGCAGATAGTATAGTATCATTAGTCCTCACACAATAGGTGTGGTTCACTGTCTACTGCATGAATGTGCACAAGGTTGGTGAACGGATTTTGAGTTTTCTGGCCCTGTTGCTCATCCTGGTTTCAGATTATACCTCGACTTCTGCAAATGTTGGAGTCCCTATTGCGAATGTTCCACTCAGGATCTGACTTTACAGCGGGCAACGAAATAGTAGCTGAAAGCCAGTCGAAATGTTTCACCCATGGTTTCTGCTTCGAATTAATTGCACACCCATTCTTCTCCGCTATCGTCTCACTAAGGATTTACTTCTTTGACTTGGTTTTCGTGATCAATCTAAATAGCTGTCTACTGTTACCTATCGCCACTGCCTTTTCTATCTCTTCAGCCTTTGCTGCCCACAGCTGTTCGTGGTCACTGAGTAAACTTTCCGTCAGTCGACGTTTGATTCGTATTCGCTCCTCATTGTGATTGGAGGCTGCAAGAATGCTTTTGCGTGGATCCGCTAACTGAGAAGCTTATAATATACACTGGGTCTATCTAATCACTTTCTAAGAGTCATTTACGTTCTTAACCACTGTTTTTATAGCATACCAGAGATGTTGCCTAGCTTCCTATGGACGATTGATATTGTTCTTCAGAAATAACTGTCGAGCCGATTTCTCGTTAAAAGTGGTCTTAGTGCTCTCATTGTCGAGCTGCACTCGCAATGATCTTGTTAGTAGTGTCTTCTTACGTCCATTTAAACGCAGACATACAAGCACTGGAACCAAAGCCATTGTCTTTTGTGCGACTGGGATTCTGAAAGTGCCATTCTGCTTTACTTAACTTGGCTTCCTCGAGCACTGAAATCGCCTGTTATGACAATCACATCTGAGTTCTTGTCTTTCAGCAGGAGGCTTAACAATTTTCTGATGAACTCATCCTTCACTTTATTCGAGTTGCAGTCAGTGGAAATTACAGAGATAACGGTAAGTTTCACGATTCTTTGCAGTCCTCATTGCATCGTTGAGTCGAATAGTGCAGTATCAACTGGTATCCAGTCGAGCAGCTCACTTTTTGCTTTGGGAGCACAAAAGCATTGTTTCACCTAGGCATAGGATTCGTCAGCAGTTGGCATTTATTACTTTATGTGAGGCCAATCATTTCACCACCAAATTACAATCGGTGCTTTCTTCCTGTTAGGTCTTACATGCGATTTATTGTTTTATTCTGCAGTGGTCTTTAGCATGTGAATATTTTTGATTATGTGAACATACCGTGTGCAAACATTTAATTTTGCATTTCGAGGCTCAAACGACTAGTCATTGTATTTTTTCACATGAAACGTTTTCATTCTAACCTGGGTGTGAAGGGACACCTTTCGACTGATATCTAGATTATCTGAAATCTTAATTGGTAATCGAATCGTAATTTAGCGTACAAATTTTAAATTATTTACTTGCCATGAACAACCGGTGACATGGCATAGATCATTATTATTATATTATTTGTCCCTTGAGTTCATAGTGGGAAATAGGGCTTCAGTAGCACCTCTCCATCCCACTCTCTTCTCTACCATCTTTTCAACCTGGCTCCACCACAGCCCAGAAGCTCTCATTTCTTCCTCACATGATCTCCTCCATGTCACCTTCAGTTAGGACGCCAAAATCGTCGCTTCCACTTGAGGGCCTGACGCGTGATGTCCCCAGTCGGCCTTCTCAGTGTATGCCAAATCCATTTCCACTTCCTTCCAATGCATGTTTGTTGAGCGATAGGTTTTTGGTTGGTTCGTCACCAGCCAGCCAGAGTTCCTTGTTGCTTATTCTTTCTGGCCATCTGAGCTTCAGTAAAGAGCGTAGACAGTCGTTGATGAATGTCTTTAGTTTGTTGGAATGCTTTTTGTAACGTGCCAAGTCTCTCAACCATATAGGAGCACTGGCTTGACGTTAGTGTCGAAAATCTAGATCTTGTTCTGTTCACGCTTTATGCTGAGTGCAGAACTCCACACTGGTTTCAAGCTAATAAACTCCTGTCTTGCCTGCTTTCCGTCCCTGGC